ATGTCAGCGGCAAATGTGAAGCATCTATATTGAACAACAACAACAACAACAATAACAATATTGAAAACATTATTATTATTTTTATGATTTGTCATATACGCAGTCTAATCAGTCAGACCGCATTAATCAGCCGTCAATAACTTGTTGCGGCATTACACTCATAATAACATTACTAAGTATGTATATGATACGCACCGATATCCTTATTACAAGAGCCAATTAAAATTTGTTCATCTATGCGGAAAAGATGGCGTCCTGGGAAACCATTGCCCCAACCACGTCCCGTTAAGTCACGTATCACCATCTGTTGGCTGTATGGCGTATATTCGTAGGATCGTGTGCCATTGCCGGCATTGAAGCCCACCTGTACAAAATAATTGTTCACATGAAATCATTTATGTATGTATGTATATGAAAATCTATGTTTGTATGGAAATACTAGGAAACGTATGTTTTGTAATTTAATTCACCCGTTGAACACATTCAAACATGGAAATTAATTAACTTATTTAGCTTTACGGGATTCCCATGACAGTTCGTGTTGTGGTTAACCAGGACAGTCAGAAACTTAATTTAAAATACCACACATATTCACACAAACATATACATGTGGATGCGTATGTAGTTTGCGCATTTATTGAATGGTATTTTGAAACAATGCACTGCAAACTGAATTATATGCCTATTATAACTATGACTTTTTGGAACCTTTTTTGAGGTTAAGGCGATTAAAAATGGAATTTGGAAAAATCCACTAGGATAACGCACATGTTTTTGTTTAAAGGCATAATGACATGAGCAAAGGGCAGATAAAGGTACAAACAGCCAGCATATCAGTCAATCTCATTCCGAATATGTTACTATAGTTTTAGTTATATCAGCGTGCACCCTATTTAATGGACCGAATTTTAAAGGATAATGTTTGGAGTTTTACGAAAACGGATATTTTTTTTTAACTTCAGTAGCATTAAGTAAGAATTCAACTTAGCATTTTTGTAGAGCTTTTTGACTTTTAATGGTCGAACATGTATAACCTTGAAAATTGTGGTATAAAAGGTCCGTTATGTAAACGTTAAAGTTAAAATTTTCTAAAAAAAAATGTCTGACTACATTTTACTGAAGTGGTCTGAGTACCGAAATTATATTTTAGTTCTTTTTATACAAACATAGGGGACTCACAAGATAGCTTAAGCGTCGTAATGTCTTTAAGTCGTAAAATTTTTCAATGTAAAATATCGGCTAAAGCGGTTTTAAGCGTTACGCAGGGTATAATATCAGCCAATAAATAATATAATTTCTGTGAGTTTAACAGCATTTGATTGTAGATTCAAATCCCAAAAACCATTATTTTACAAACAAACAAATTGTGATTTTAAGACGGCTTGACGCTATAAGTAATTCCACTTTCTGCCAAAATTTTCAAATTTTAAATCCTCTTTAGAAACCAGCTCAAACACTCCGAGCTACACATCTTGGTTTTTTTTCTGTTTTCAAATCACAAACGAAGTTGGATAATAAAAATAAAAATAAAAATCAATCAGTCGAGTGATTTTGATTTGCTTAAAAAAATTAAAAACTATATATTTTGTTTAAAAACACATATAGTCACTATGATAAGCAGCACGCACAAATTCATTAACTGGATTAGCCACTTCGTTAATACTTACAAAAGCGGGTACTCCGCCTTCACCCGTCGTGGTATCGCCACCTGCCTCCGTATTCGAAGACCATCTCAGTAAATCATAATTGTATATGGCATATGTGTATACTTCATCAGTGGCCAAAACCATCTGGAAAGTGTTAGTCTGCAAATAATAAAATTTTAAAATTAAAACGAAGACAGAGTGACCCAATCGAACACAAAACTTTAATATTTTATGGCAAATGAATAATTTAGGTGAAACGGTTAATGACTTATTACTCTTAAAAAATACATTGCGTAAATGGAAATTTGTATATTTTTATTGTTTTTGTAGGTACAGTACAAAAATAATCTGTGTCTGACTTAATTAATTTCAATAAATTTGCTTCTTTCTTTGCAACAAAATCGATGTAGATAAAAATGTACCTATAGACATTTGTATCAATTTGAATTCAAATTACTTTACTCTGAGATACGAGTAATTACCCACTAGGTGTATATTAAGAGATTTCAGGTTTAAATGTGTGTGTGTATATATGTATATTAGGGTGTTACAAAAATGCATGAGAATTTTTATGCTCTCAATCCCTAGGATTGTTCTCTACCGAAAAATATGGGGTTTTTGGCGGACCTATAAATTATAGTTAGTAAGTAAAAATGGTTAATTAATCAACTGGGTATTATTACTGGGAGTCTCCTACAGAGAAACAAAGTTTTCCCATCGAAAAATATTGATTTTTAAGAACTGTATGCCATTTCTATGAAAAGGTGTTTTCTCCATATAAAATATATAGAAAATTTTGAGCGCTTTGAGCGACCTATACATATTTTTTAATTTCGAAGTAAAAAATAGGGGCATATTTTTCGGTATAGAACAATCCTATTTTTATGCTCTCAATCCCTAGGATTGTTCTATACCGAAAAATATGCCCCTATTTTTTATTTCGAAATCAAAAAATATTTTCATAGAAATGGCATACAGTTCTTAAAAATCAATATTTTTCGATGGGAAAACTTTGTTTCTCTGTAGGAGACTCCCAGTAATAATACCCAGTTGATTAATTAACCATTTTTACTTACTAACTATAATTTACAGGTCCGCCAAAAACCCCAAAAAAAGCAATGGGGACACCAATATAAAATCGTTAGTAATAAAACACTGATAAATAAATAAACAATTGGGTATTTTAATGGAAGTCTCCTGAAGAAAACCTAAGTTGTCCGATCGAAAAATACTGATTTCCAAATATATATATAAATATGTATATATGTGAATAAAATCTATAAAACACATGGACAATTTTGAGCGTTATGAGCGGCTTCTAAATATTTTTTGATTTGAAAATAAATAAAAAATAGAGGTACATTTTTTTCGACATAGAACAATCTTAAGGGTTAAGAGCATTAAAATTCCGACTTTACTTTTTTTTAGGCTACCCTAATTTATACCTATGTATATATGTATGAATAAAAATTCGTCGAGTTCATGCAGAGACATGAGCTGGAATTGTTGCCAGTGGAAAATACTATTGTTTTGCCTATTTTTTTATTTAAACATGATTTCATCATAAAAACATGTAAAATTTTAATACAACTGTATCAGCACCGTTAATAGCAATCGACTTTATACGGGAATGCTTCACAGGTTGCATGAATGGGGTCTGATGGTATTTTTCCCCAGTGTTGACTGTCTCATATTTTTTAGTTAATACTTTGGCCTCAAGAAGCCTGCCTACTTGGCTCAAACCGTGTCCTTTGTGGCCCTATTTTACTTCAAATGGTACTTAATTTTACAGATTTGTCACAAAGTGCCAAAATGACAATTTTGAGAAAGAATAATATTGCAATACATCTGCGAGTACTTCCTTTTCTCAACTACAATTTTTCTATCTAATTTTTGCATTGCTCATTTATTTTAGAAAGGTGGTTCTTATTTTAATGCTAAATGGGAATAATTAAAAAGTAAGGCACCTTTTTTGTCACTTTTATTTTTCTATTTAACACATTTTGGCACATTTTTATTCTCAGTCCTGCTCGAGAATGAACCACATTGAGAATTGGGTTTTAGTCCGGTGAATATGGTAGGCATTCTACCCTCAGAAATAACAACTAGCTATTGTTTCGACGTGTCTTCTGACTTCCCCTATTTTATTTGTACTCAATAGCAACAAACTAGATACCATGAAGATGGAAAACGATTAAGAATGCTCACAAAAGAACTAGAAGGGACCTTAAATAACGAACGGAACTCCCAAACCCGACGACAGCTAAGCAGTGTTGATGCCAATATTTGTCAAATATCTGTTGAAAAACTCGATGCATCTCTACTTGTCTGCTTTCTCTCTCTAAATTTTATTCTATAACTGTGAGTGACATTATTGCATTTTACTGAAAAAGACTTTTCTGGAACTTTTGGTATCTGATGCTTAAATACGTCTCTTATATGAATAAATCTCACGAGTTTTTACATTTTTCGGCAAAAACGTTATTGTTTTATTCAGAATATTGGCATACTTATCTTACACCACGCATTATCTTTAGTTTTGCATAAAGAACAAGATTCCATCGCGATTTTAAATGAAAACTTAAAAAAGATGTACATGCTACTGAAAAATGTAAAAAAATAAAAACTCGTGTTCATATACTCGCAGTTGCTTATGTAACGTATACGCCCCGTAGCACCATACACAGTGAATTAACACGCTTATTCGCACGTCTTAAATTAAAAGTCATATTATTTAAAAGTAATTAATTATTGGCTTGGAGGATTTTTCCACAGTATTCCATATGAATATATATATAATTTTGTTTATGTATATATAACGCCCGTATCTCTTCCGGTCAAAAAGCGGTATATATTACTGCGCTAAAATCCGGTTTCGCAGTATCTCCATTTAAAAATGAAAGCATTTTTTACAGTATATTACAGAAACAGTTTTAAACTAAATTAAAGGAACTCCTTGTTTTTGTTTGTATGGAAGAAAATAATAACACAGTCAGCAAAAAAATAACCAAAAATCAACGCCAATTCTTAGGTTATTGAAGCTTGCGCATATTTGGAATTTTTCCGAAAATTATGAATACAAAGTTTGTTGTTTTGGGATTTTTTTTTAATTTCCCTACAAAGTTTGTAATGTGGATTTATACCCCTATTTTTACATAATAGTATATATATGCATTTTTAAAGCGTATTCCCGCGAACACTGTGTATTAAAAAATTTAGGCAGGAAAAAATGTATAAATGCATTAATTTGAAAAAAACACCGCAGTATCCATTTTCGGAATCCAAAAAAAAAGTATTATACTGCGAAATAAAGTATAGATACGAGCCATATGTATACAACAATTTAAGAATAAATTTCGACTTAGCCAATAAAAATTGTAAAAAATGGAATTTTAGTTTCACAAATCATCGTTATTTTCTTTTTCATTTAGTGCCATACTCTTGAAACTTCACAGATATTTTGTACTTGAATCCAATTTCCTTTGCCTCTAATATGAACATTCTATTTGAAACTTTCCAAAGTTATTAAAATAGGAATATGATTTTTCAAGTTACAATGACAAAATTAGTAAGTTCGGTACTTTTCCGCTTAAACAAAAAACGTTTTAATGCTAAAATTGCTCAAATACTTGATTTATTTACTTACTTTGATTTATTTATTTTCATAGTTGAGCTAAGTAATTAAATTGATTTATTAACACCTTACTAGCCAGCCGCAGGCAAAAATTCTGAAAGTGAATTTTGTTTGAAATGATTTTTGTTGACTTAATTTTACTTATTTCGTAAATTTTGCCGTTCAGTCTACAAAGTTTGTTTATTGGAGAATTTTAATTCAATAAACACTTGTATGTCCGATGCTCGATTGATAACAGAAATATTTAAAATTTCTAGTAGAATATGCAGACATTTTAAGATACTCATAATATTACTTACATAATTCAAATTTATTTGTGGGATTTGATCTAAAAAAAAATACATGCACCGCATTTCGATTAATTACGAATACGCCCAGGTACTCCATTTTTCGGCTTTAAAAACACAATTTCCTTCCTTCTGCTAATGCTGAGCGATAGCTATCAAGCAACTGTGAGCAATATCATGAAAAAGCAACAAGTTCGCATGCTTATTCTTGTGAATGTGAATTTCTTTCATACATCACTGATTGACAGGCAGCCGTAATGGAAATGACAGTTGTGACTACTGATGGTGCCAGTAGAGTACTTTGTTATAAATATGTCAACTGATATACAACAAGCAAAATACACTCCATCCTACATTAAAGCGTATGCGAACAGGCACAGCTGTGCGTCTAACAAAATTGTAAGGTTAAAAGCACAAATCTATCAAAATCCAAAAGTCCCAAAAGAGAGGATATTCAAAAAAAAAAAAACCGGGTGCGTGTAGTCCCTACGCGCGGAAGAAGTGAAACTTAATAGAGGAAATTCTTCATCTTCATCTTCATCTTATCTTTATATTTGTTTTTGATTATATTCTTGTCTTTTCATTAGTCTTTTCCCGCCCAATTGGCGTTTANGCAAACATAACGGAGCTATAATAATAAGATTTGCTTCAATAATTTGAGTTTAACTTTTTAAACAGGTGGCCACCCTCTTCAGGCACCTCAAAAATAATTTAATTGTGTTTCTGTAAGCTCTCTCTGTACTGTACAGTACTTTAAGCGTAAGACATTTGTATAATTTAACTAACTTTCACTTTTGAAATAGGTGGCAACCCTCCTACATTTAGCTAGAAAATA